AAGTACCATAAATGAAATATTGAGAAAAATGGCCCCTCACTTGCATTCATCTATCATCTGACAAATATATTTATAAATGTGAGTATTTGTCACAATTTTGTACGACTTGTACTAGTCACTTGGCTGTCAAAGTTGAGACCACCTATATGCCACATAGTGATGAGTCCCTCTCTTGTTGAATATTGAAGATGAATTGCTACCTTATACTTGTGTGTGCAAATAAACTTTTATGAATAGTTTGGTCTCGACTCGTTAAAAATTTGATTCGGACTCGTTCACCTAAGAAACGAGTTAAGCTTGAGCTTAATTTTTAAACTCGTTTAGTAAATAAGTCGAGCTTGAACATTGTTAAGCTCGGCTCGTGAGAAAGCTCGTTTACATAAATATATATTTATAATATAAATTATTATATTTTAAAACAAGTCCATATATATAATTCTAGGCCCAAATTCATAAAAGTATTTTTTCATTAGCCCATTTAGTATTTGGGCATTTAGAAGCCCATCTAATTAAGTAGTCCACTAATCAATAATAGATTCATCTCAGCCATTTGACTGTAACTTATCAGTCTTTAAGGGTTAAGAAACCCTAAAAGTAGTTGTGAGATGTTGCGACGGCTTCTGCAATCCAACTGGGGGCTGTTATAAATAAAGAGAGAATATAACAACTCAAATCTCAAGGTTGGCTCCAATGGTAAAGTCATAGAACTTAGTGTCTCATGAAACATTAAATCTCAGGTTCAAATCTTTTCGAGTGCCTATTGCTTAGGGACTATGATTGCAGACATAATTCGAATTTTATCCGATTAATGTGAGTGGACCCTTGATTATCCCAAAAAACAAAATAACTAAGCATAGCAACTCAAGTGTTACAATTCTATGTATGCTTGTTATGAGTGTTCTTCCCACTCTTTAATCATCTCAATAACACACTCTCATTTCATCTCAATAACACACTCTCATTTTTGTGAGTAGAAGTTATCAACCTATATAACTACTAATTTCAATAAATATTAAAATTCATTATTTCCCAATAGTTTATAAGAAAAATTCCTAACAATTCCTACTTTTCTCATTGAAATACAAATAAGTTCTAATTTTTTTCATTAAGACTACTACATCTTACTTTTGAGAATTTTTTTTTTTTTTTTTTTTTCATTTAAGTCATAAATTACTAAACCTTCCATTTATATTCTAACTAAATACAAATAAAATTTGTAATTATAAATTAATTCAAGAATTGATATATAATTTATTTTCTTATATATTCTTTTAAGTTTTAGTTACTTAATAATATTTCATTATGAGTTTAAATAATAATTATTTTAATATTAAAATTCAATTAAAAAACTCTTTGGTGGAATACAATTAATACAAAAAAATTAATTATTTTATTAAATATCAATAAAATGTATATTTTTTTTATTCAAATTTTATGTCTAATTTTGTAAGGGCATATATAAAAATTTGAGTCTAAATTTTATATATGATTTAGGAAAAGTATATCTAATTTAGTAAGGATATAAATGGAAGATTTAGTGATTTATAAGTTAAATAAGAAAAAAAATATCTCAAAGTAAGACTTGTTAGTCTTAAAAGAAGTTTTTAGGACTTATTTGTCTTTCAATAAAAAAATTAGAACTTGGTAATAATTTTTCCTAGTTTATAACAAACTTTCTTAAAAATTAGAGCTCTAAACAAATTCTAATTAAAATTTGAGACAGTATCCAACAGATTAATCCTTGTGGAATAACCAAAAAGCTATTGTCTATAATTGATTGGCCACACTTATGTGAGGTCAATGAACTGATTTTAAATGAAATCAAAGAAGTTGATATCAATTATTTATTTATTTATATTTTTAGGAATGGATTATGTAATATAGGACATTTCAAGCATTCTCCCACTAACAACAACCAATTCTCTAATGACATCAGATGCACAAACGCACACCACACACACTGGCAGGCATTATGGAATTAAGTGCTTACAGTCATCTTTGGACCTAACCTCAAAAGTGGTGAAAACATGTCAACTTCAAAGCTTTTTGGTGTTCCCATTATTAACTTCATTGTCTCATCAAACACTAACTTAGTTTCAAACATTTCCAACAATTGTAACAGAAAGTTCCAAACAAAAACAGTAACACTGTTAGAATTTGAAGAATAGCTCGCATGATCTTAAATAATAGAGAAAAATGAAAGTACAAGACAGTGAAGCAAATAAAAGGAAAATAAGTTTTCCCTCGTGTATTTGTTAGCTTGAAAATTTTCAAAAAAATTATGAAAAATTGCCATTTCAGGTATGACTGTAAGCCAAACCGCGTAAAAAGATGAACAAAGCATTGATTTTGACAATTTTGGAAGTTCACAGGTCGTGAAAGCAATTCCACTCGCCTCTATTGTCAATATAAACTTGTGAACAATTTCAAAAGCCCTTCAATCTTGTGACACCTCGAGGGAAGTGAATAGGTACATATATTTGATTTTTTAATTATTATTATTATTGATTTTAATCTCATTATTTTTATCAAGTTGATAATTTAATCGATTAATTAATCATAAGTGTGACTAAACCTTATAGAGTACATGTTGGGGATAATTAACTTCCTTTAACCCACTCAACGGTCGGCTATTATTGAGAGTTAAATCACTCCTTCATCACACACAGCGAAAACATCATCACATCATATCAACACAAGCATATATGGAGATAACAATCATAAATATCAACGCGCAACACAATATTTTACATGGTTCACCTAACTCTAGAGTTACGTTCATAGGAGAGAAAGATTTCACTATTATAAATAAAGGACAACCACATGTCAAAATCCCACTCACTCACTCATCATCTCTTTTGAGGCTACATGTATACACTCTGGAATTACATATACTTTCTCTCCTCCTCACAACACTCACCCTTAAACCCCTTACATCTTTTCTCTCTTCTCTCTCTCTCTCTCTCTAAACCCCTCATACTTATCTCTATTTATAGAGTATTCAAAACTTAATTTCTTGTTGGACAAGTATTCCTCAAATCCAACTTCTTGTTGGACAAGAATCAACTTGCCTATAAGGAATTACCATATCTATCTTCAATTCTAAAATAGCAGGTATAACTTTTTTTCCAAATCTTTAACCTTTTTCCCCAAGTCTTCCGGATTTCAAAACCAATTAGGAAACTATTTCTCGCAGCTTCCAAAACAAAAAAGAAAACTAATTTTCTGCGCACAAATTTTGAGCTATAAACCCAACAATCTCTACCTTGGCTCAAAATTCAATCTTCACGTGCTTCTCCATAACTCCACCTTGAACAAGGATCTCTTCATAACTTTACCTCAACTGAAGATTTCTCCACCTCAAATAAAGTACTATGATGAACTTGAGAAACACTCTAACAATCTCCACATTTTCTCAAATTCATCATTCTTCATTTTTTCTTCTATCTTCTCCATTCACACTATTGGTATTCAATTGCTCACGCATGGCAACCCACCAATCTTTAACTCATCTTCATCAATTGCTTTTCTAGCCAAAGCAACAAACCCCTCCTCTTCACTCTTCATACTTCCATTTGCTCTTTATCGGGCTTAAAGCAAACCCCTTCATTCTTCACACCCCTTGCCCCATCTTGAGAACTAGCACCACTCTTGGCTTGTCCCCAAAATTTGTTCCTCGTGGGCTTCATCTCTATCACCTTTACCCTATCTTAAAAACGAGCATTCTTTGGCTTGTCACAAGACTTGTTCTTCATGGGCTTCACACCATCACCTAACTATTGTCCTTTTACAAACAACTCACCTGAACTAAAAACTGCCCCTGAACTATTGATTTGTTGCAATTAAGGACAACTCCATCACAAAATACTATTTTACCTTTTCTCATTAAAATTTTCATTTCTTATTAAATTATTTTTATTATCTTTTCTCTTATCTAAATATTAATTATAATATTTACCTTAATTTTATTATTAGTATCAATTTATCATAAAAATGAAAAAAAAAATATAAAAATAAAAAAAAAAAACCGCTTTTTTTTTATGTAATATATTCATTAAAATTTAAAACACTAATTATTTTTTTTAAAAAATTTTCTACTAAAAATTTTTACTTAAATAATTATTTAAAAAATTAAGGTAAATTTAAGCAAATTTAATGGAGAATATGTCATCATATTAGTATGATTTTTTTTTTCATAATTTATTTAAATAATAAAAATAGATTAAGTATAATTCAATAAAAGGGGCATTATGGTCATTTAATGCAATATCGTTTGGGCATTGGGGTATTTTTCAACAAAATGTGATAGCTTAGGGAATATTATGCACAAAATATAGTTCAAGGAGGTTTTTTTTTTCTTTTTTTTCTTTTTTTTTGGGCACTTTACCCTATATAATAATTTGTATTCAAGGAAATATAAAACATTATTTGTATTTTTAGCTAAAGAAAAGATAATGAAGTTTTGATGAAATAAACTTTGCAATTAAATAAATTTTTATTGACTAATATAATAACAATTGTATTTAATAATGAAACTTCTTCTTGTGATGTTTCTAAATTTTCGCCATTTTTTATTTTTTCAAAAATTTTGTCGCAGTAAGGGTATTTTCGTCTTTTGTTGTTTTTCGTACCGGATACTGTGCAGTGTGCCAGTTGTGTTTGAGAGTTGTTTGGGGTATTTCACTGAGTCCAAAACTTTTTGAAATATAAGGGTGGTCATTTTCGCATTTTTTCCGTTTTTCTGTTCGGACGGTTCCGTGTGGGACCCGTTACCGGAATTGTTACATACATAATTTTTGTTTGGGTTCATTTGCATCATAATCATTTTATTTAATGTATCTTATATAGTTGTAAATTAATATATGTATATGTGTATGTATATTTGTGTGTGGTGTAAAATGAGAAGAAAAATAAAAGAAAAAGAAAATATTTTTGGTGGTAGGACCCACCACCACTTTATTTCGTTTATGTCTCACATTTCCTCTCTCTTTTCTATCTCCCCCCGCTGGTTTCTCTCTCTCACCCCATTTCCTTGCTTTTCTTTTTCATTTTCTATCAAGGTTACAAATTTTGATTTCTCCTTCAATACTTAGTATTTTTAAGTACTGTTTGTGGCAAATTGAAGCTCATGGCGAGAACTACAAGTTTATTGGAGCAATTCCTAATTTGGTGCACTCTTAATTTTTGGGATCTAGGGCACAAAATTGGGGGTTTTGCTTAGATTGAGGTAGGGGTCTCTAATCTATATATTCTTGGGCTTTTGTGAGTTAATTTCAAAAAAAATTGTGTTTTAGCATATTTAAATTGTGAAATTTCATATAAATTTATTTACTTACTATGTGAAAAGGTGTGACTATATTTTATGTGATATATAATAATGAAAACATACTTAATTGATGAATTTACATGCCCATGGTATTAAATTGTTATGTTTATGTGATGATAAAATATAAATTATAAAAAATAATAAAAAAAATAATAATAATAAATAAATAAATTTCTTACGAAGCATGTTAATTGTTGATTAATTTAATCATTTTGTGCCTTTAGTGCTAGTTTGGTGATTAGAAAACACGAAATATAATTTTAGAAATTTTTATGTTGTAAACATGTATATTATTGAATAATAACTTAATGAGTATGAATTTCTCTATTTGTATAACATTGAGATATATGAGACATTCATCCATAGCATTGGGCATGAAAAGAGGAAAATTGTTTTGAAAGGAAAAAGGAATTTTGGGACAAAGTTTTGATTAAAGTGATTTTTATGAAAACCTGGTCGCTGCGGAGTCACCAAAGGGTCGTGGTGTTAGTATAACTTAGAGAGAATTAAGAAAACACCCTAACATGGTTAAGCTATCTGGGCTCCAAATAACGCCGCGGGGATATCAAGGGTCAGGGACAGTAGCCAATCATTTTTTCGTGTCGCTGCGGAGTCACTAATGGACGGATTATATTAACAGTTTGAAAAGTGATGGATCTGGATTTTGGAAATGGGGAGTGACATACATGGCGTTGCATTCATGGACAACATTGTTTGTTTTGACTTGAAAAGTAATGTTATATTCTTTCCCGGCTTAGCATGACCTCGCTCCCTATTGCCCTATTTATTGTTTGGATTTACAGGGTCATAAGAGGTGTGTCTTAGGCACCACCTACTGAGCTTTATGCTCACCCTATTATTTTAACATTTTTCAGGACATGGGAAAGAAGTGGCGGATGGCGTTCCACCACATGCCTAATTTGGATTAGAAGATCATTTTACTATTTTTGTATTCAAGTCTCACTATTTTTGTAAAACTTAGTATATTATATTCTGTACGGAAACTTATGGACTTTTGTTATTGTAATTATATTCATGGACTGTAAGTACATGTAATTGGAGTAAAATTTTAGTATGTGAGCATGAAACTATGTATAAAATAAGTACTCCTTTATTCTGCATGAATGGGTTGATGGTGATGGGCTATTTTGAGGAGATTGTTGATGTTGTTATTTTGGAAATGTTTTATATTATTTGCATTGTGTGCTGGGACAGGTTAGATAAATTTTGAAGGTTCAAGAGAGGCCATTGCATTTTTTATGCATTTAAACAGGTTGACGTAAGACCTTTTTTAGTAGATGTCATGCCAAATTTTTTTTTAATTGGTATCAATTTAAATGTCGTTACACTTCTTTTATTAGAGGCCTTAGACAATGGTCTTAATTGCCCTAAGGTTGAACCTTCCCAATACTTCAACCCCCATTTTGAGCTTTGACTCCTTCAACAAGGTGACCTTAAAATACAAATGAGCAATAACCAAGCTGATACAAACTTACCTCTTCAAAAGTGAGGTCTGGGTTCATGCCCAAGTGGGGCAAAGATTTGCGAGTTTGCTTCAAGGAAAAAAAAACAAAAATAAAAAATAAAAAACAATAGAAGAAGAAAAAGAGGAAGTGACCATAATATTTCATGACCAACACTGATATTACATTTTGTCCGCACACAATTATAAAACTTAGCTTTATATATATATATTTATATTTATAATTTTTTTTCCCCAGTAAATTAAAGTTGTACAGAAAGAGGAAACACGTATGGTAAACAAAAGGGCTTAAACCTCAAAGAGAACCTAATAACCCATAAACAAACCTTAGGCTAAACACATGAAATAGTTAAACACATCATACGGAACAAGCCCAATACAAAAAATTAAGATAACAAAGACTTTGAAGTCCAAAACACTCCCAACCCAAGCCCATGCTCCTTGATCCACCACAAGAATTTGAACGACAACGGAGGAAATATCGAAGAGGGTGGGAACTGGAAAATATCAACATAATTAGGGTACAACCATATTTTTGCAGAGTAAGAGCACTATCTAAGAAATTATTAGATTGTTTTGGATCATTTGACACTTATAGACTAATTCAATAGAAACTAATATTTAGATTTCTTTGTAATATATTATTAATACACTCTTGTGGGTCATTTCCTCAATTGCAAAGTCTAGATTAAACTAGTTTAGCAGGTGTCAAAGAAATAGAAAAAATGAGTCCGAAAGATAAAAAAAAAAAGGTGATTACAAACTGATTCCCATATTAGAATTATATTGCCAATGCCAACATACAAATATTATCTTAACAATATCTATCAATTAAACAGTAGGCATTTACTGTTTTCAAGTATCAACTCAAATAACCCATTGAAGATCACCATTTAAGCAGCTCAGAATGCCTATTGTACCCACTATCCTAGCAGCTTAAAAAAAATGGTATTTTTCATACTTCACAATAGGTCATATAGGGTGATAAAAATCAGATTTTGGGCATTTCACAAATAAGCTCAATAATTAATCACCATTCCATCCGGTGTTGATAAAAGACATTGTCAGTAAAAGGATTTGCCAAAATTGGCCATGCCTTGTCTGTCACAAGGCACTGTAGTGAATGTTAATGAGAATTTATTAGATAGTAGATCAATTTTATTTAAACTCTTCAATTGAAAAAACGACTTCACAAAGAAATCTCAACAATTGAAATAGTCTACTGCAAAAATATGACAGTTGTCAATAAATTGAGAGAGCTTATCATCCCCTATACGGAAAAGTGTGTGTTTTTTTATGAACATAATTGAAAATCTGAATCACAATTACTTTTTTTTATTTTTATTTTTATTTTTTACCTTCATGGCATAATTGAATGACACAATTTGCATAGGAAGTGCATCAAATTACTCTGTTAATCATTTTCTAGGGTTCCGGACACTGTTTTGGATCAAGCAGACGGGATAAAAACGTAGACGAACTCATCAACTCTAATTGGCCTTAAAAAGCACCTCTTCTAGAGCAGTATCACAAATATCAATCTGATGTTAACTGAATTCATAACTTCACCAATATATACATAATAGTTTGGGAAACGAATTTGAAGTGGAAGTTGGATCAATAGTTGTTGGATTTGCATAGAATTGAGGTATATAGTAACTTTAAAACATGATGATGGATCCTGCAATCTTAATTAGCAAGTATTTTTGGAATCAATTCACTGGAATACAAAAAATGTAAAGTTTTATAACAACTAGGGTTTGCATATTACAAGGAAAGGTCAGGCTTACATTGCAGCACAAAGAAGGGCATGGTGAGGCTTCTAAAGTTCAATAAAGAGGAAAATAAAAAGTTTCATCAAAACATTTTTTCCCCCTATTGGTGCTGTGGATACCTTCTTCTTCATCATCATCTTCATCTTCCAGTGATTCTTCCGAGCTCGTCAGATGCCCACCCGGGAATGGCTGAAGAAATGGCACAAAACAGAAACAGGACAGCGCTTACCATTGAAAGCATGGAGAAATAGAGGAAGAACCTTGCAATCTTTGGCCTTTTATGGAGGAAAACCGCGCTAAAGGAAGCGGTAAAAGCGAAGATAATAGATATGACGAAGCCCCGGAAGATAGATGGGAGGCCTTTGAAGATGATGGTTGGAACACGAGTTTGATCTATGTACTGGTAGGGAAGTAAGAGCAGCGAAGAAGCTATGGCAGAGCTGGTGATCAATATAGATCTTGAAAGGGTGGTTTCACTACTCTCTGATGGAGATGAAAATGAAGACGACTCATGGATGTGAGGATTGGAATGAGGAACAAAAACAATCACTCTTGGCAAGCTCGGCTTTTTTGCCATTGATGGATCTTGTTTGGGACAAGAAAGTGTAATCACCTTGGTGATGGTGGAGATTGAAGAAGACTCCCAAAGTTTCTTTTTTAAAAAATATAAAAACTCAATTCTTCACCAACAACTGGGTGACTTTGGAGGCAGCCGGCCGAGATTAAAGAAATGAAAACGCGTAGTTAGATTAAAATATTGTTATTATGTGGAAGGATGAGGTGAGTGCCGAGAGCCGACTCTTTGGGCATTTTTCTATTGTTTAATCTCGGCCAAATTTATTTTTTAAAAAATATAAAAACTCAATTATTCACCAACAGCTCCGTCGTGACTTTCGAGGCAGTCGGCAGAGATTAAAGAAATGAAAACGCGTATTTAGATTAAAATATTATTATTATGTGGAAGGATGAGGTGAGTGCCAAGAATCGACTCTTTAGACATTTTTCTATTGTTTAATCTTGGCCAAATTTCTTTTTTAACAAAATATAAAAACTCAATTATTCACCAACAACTCCGTGACTTTGGAGGCAGTCGGCAGAGATTAAAGAAATGAAAACGCGTATTTAGATTAAAATATTGTTATTACGTGTAAGGATGAGGTGAGTTATGCCCAGAGCGGAGTACTCTTTCGGCGTTTCTATTGTTTAATCTACTCCATGAGACCCTAGTGTGTTTCAGATCAACAAAATTGAAAATCCATTCACAGTTGGGTTTTGACCTGCACATAAACACTTTTGGTATCGGCGATGGAGACGACGCCAATCAGCACACATCCTGAGGAGTCCTTTGTAAGTTTTCTCTCTCTCATCCTTATTTCTCTCTTCTCAAATTATCTCTCTCGTCCTCGTGTCTTTCACTCTTTCTCAGATATGAAGGTTTTGTTTGTTACATTATCTCTCATATTATATCTCAAGATCTCTTTCTTTTCTGCTACTTTATTGTTTGTTTGCGCAGATCAATTGATTGGTCTAGAGAAGAAGTGTGTGCTAATGGGTTTGGATATATATTTTTTTTATTTTTTACTTTTACAAAATTTTGGAGAGACTAATATTTCCACTATTTTATAATGGAAATATACCAAAAAAGAATGAGTAAATAAGATGCCAATATTGTAATTTTTTACAATATATTTCTTGTCTTTTTCTTCATTATTTTCATCTAAGTGTATTAATTGTAAAAATGTTATTAACTATTTTTTGTCTGCAAATGTTTGCACATACAGTTATTTTTCACTGATTTTGATTCATTTTTGATAATTTTTCTTTTTTAGTGTGATGATGAATGTATTCTAGCCGAAATCAGACAGTAGCTTTTAAACTCCGATGAACAAGTTGAAGTAACAATAAGGTGCTTAATGGAGATTACATACGAATCACTTTAATAGTTCGGTTTAATTGAGTTATGATGTGGATTTGGCTTTCAACATTTTCTAAAAGTGTAAACTTTTAAACATTAATTTAAAGCATAGACTTGGAATTTGTAAAATCCATGTTGGGATGTAAAATTTTCATCATTGGGTTTTTCAGATTTATTATGTTACTTTTATCCTAAGGCTTGGAAGAGAAAAGATTGATAAAGAAATTCAAATTTGTTTTTTAAATAGGCATATTAAAAACTAAAAAGAAAAAAAAAAAAAAAAAAAAAAAAAAAAGAGACCACTGTGGAATAGGATAATGAATTGATAGAGTTACCACTTATTGTCAATTTTGTCATTTAAAATTTAATTTAGAAGGTTTAATAAATATGTAATTATTTTTGATCAAATTACCTTCATACGGTTCCTTATTAGTAATTAATTTTTAAATTTGATGATTATCATCTTTTTTGAACTTTGTGGTCACTTTAGAACAATATTTTTTATTTTTTTAAATTTAAACACCAAACTCTAATTTTTTTCTTAAAAAAAAAAAATCACAAAACACAAAAAATGAAAAGAAAATGACAAATTAGGTTGCGTTTAGTAACGAGAAACGTTTCTTGTTTTCTGTTGTCAACCTCTAAAATGGCAAAACGAAAACAAAAATCATGTTCAATAAAATGTTTTTGTTTTTCTATAACAGAAACGTTTTTAATTTTTGTGAAAAAAAAGAGAAAACATCAAAATGATGTTTCTTATGTTTTTAACACTGTAGCAAAGAAATGTTTTCACTAATGTTAGTGCACAGACACTATTCATTTCAAATAAATTCATATTATTTGTATTATATACTAAGTTGCATATTAAATGTTAATAAAAATATATATTTTTAATATAGAATAAATTAAATATTGTATATTATTTTTTATTTGATAAAAATATATTTT